GGCCATGTGTATTGATGGTATAGTGACAGCTGACAGGGAAGGAGCGGCCATGTTTATTGATGGTATAGTGACAGCTGACAGGGAAGGAGCGGCCATGTTTATTGATGGTATAGTGACAGCTGACAGGGAAGGAGCGGCCATGTTTATTGATGGTATAGTGACAGCTGACAGGGAAGGAGCGGCCATGTTTATTGATGGTATAGTGACAGCTGACAGGGAAGGAGCGGCCATGTTTATTGATGGTATAGTGACAGCTGACAGGGAAGGAGCGGCCATGTTTATTGATGGTATAGTGACAGCTGACAGGGAAGGAGCGGCCATGTTTATTGATGGTATAGTGACAGCTGACAGGGAAGGAGCGGCCATGTTTATTGATGGTATAGTGACAGCTGACAGGGAAGGAGAGGCCATGTTTATTGATGGTATAGTGACAGCTGACAGGGAAGGAGCGGCCATGTTTATTGATGGTATAGTGACAGCTGACAGGGAAGGAGCGGCCATGTTTATTGATGGTATAGTGACAGCTGACAGGGAAGGAGCGGCCATGTTTATTGATGGTATAGTGACAGCTGACAGGGAAGGAGTGGCCATGTTTATTGATGGTATAGTGACAGCTGACAGGGAAGGAGTGGCCATGTTTATTGATGGTATAGTGACAGCTGACAGGGAAGGAGCGGCCATGTTTATTGATGGTATAGTGACAGCTGACAGGGAAGGAGCGGCCATGTTTATTGATGGTATAGTGACAGCTGACAGGGAAGGAGCGGCCATGTTTATTGATGGTATAGTGACAGCTGACAGGGAAGGAGCGGCCATGTTTATTGATGGTATAGTGACAGCTGACAGGGAAGGAGCGGCCATGTTTATTGATGGTATAGTGACAGCTGACAGGGAAGGAGAGGCCATGTTTATTGATGGTATAGTGACAGCTGACAGGGAAGGAGCGGCCATGTTTATTGATGGTATAGTGACAGCTGACAGGGAAGGAGCGGCCATGTTTATTGATGGTATAGTGACAGCTGACAGGGAAGGAGCGGCCATGTTTATTGATGGTATAGTGACAGCTGACAGGGAAGGAGCGGCCATGTTTATTGATGGTATAGTGACAGCTGACAGGGAAGGAGCGGCCATGTTTATTGATGGTATAGTGACAGCTGACAGGGAAGGAGCGGCCATGTTTATTGATGGTATAGTGACAGCTGACAGGGAAGGAGCGGCCATGTTTATTGATGGTATAGTGACAGCTGACAGGGATGGAGCGGCCATGTTTATTGATGGTATAGTGACAGCTGACAGGGATGGAGTGGCCATGTTTATTGATGGTATAGTGACAGCTGACAGGGAAGGAGCGGCCATGTTTATTGATGGTATAGTGACAGCTGACAGGGAAGGAGCGGCCATGTTTATTGATGGTATAGTGACAGCTGACAGGGAAGGAGTGGCCATGTTTATTGATGGTATAGTGGCGGCCATGTTTGTGTCTGGCAGGGGTCTGTGGCGGCCATATTTGTGTCTGGCAGAGCTTTGAGGCGAGCTGTCTGTCATGGCCGCTTGCTGCCCCCTCACTGAGGACACGTTCAGCCGTTTCCCCTCGCAGAGCAATGTGTACGGTCTGTCCGTGCTGCCCTGCCCCGGGGCCCCCGAGCTCCTGGCCGCCACCCTGAAAGGCAGAGTGACCAATTTCAAATACCAGGACCTGAGGGACCGCCTGCGGGCCGGAGCGCGGGAACTGCAATTCACTTATATACCAGGCACGTACCATTACTGTGTGAGAAAGAGGGGGGAACCGGGCACGTACCATTACTGTGTGAGAGAGAGGGGGGAACCGGGCACGTACCATTACTGTGTGAGAGAGAGGGGGGAACCGGGCACGTACCATTACTGTGTGTGTGAGAGAGAGAGAGAGAGGGGGGGAATAGGGCACGTACCATTACCGGGAGTGGGGTGCCGGGCAGTGGTACCATTAATGTGAGAGAGAGAGGGGGGACCGCACGAACCATTATTGTGGGAGAGAGGGGGGGACCGGGCACGTACCATTATTGTGAGAGAGAGGGGGGGACCGGGCACGTACCATTATTGTGAGAGAGAGGGGGGGACCGGGCACGTACCATTATTGTGAGAGAGAGAGAGAGGGGGAACCGGGCACGTACCATTACCGGGAGTGGGGGGGCCGGGCATGTACTATTACTGGGAGAGAGGGGAACTGGAATGTACCATTACCGGGAGTGGGGGGGGGCGGGCATGTACCATTACCGGGAGTGGGGGGGGCGGGCATGTACTATTACTGTGAGAGAGGGGGTGGGGGGTGACTGAGCATGTACCATTACCTGCAATACATTTTGTCCGCCACATCGTTAGATAGCTGAAAAGAGACTTGCAAAAAACCCAGTCTGAAGCACTAACAATTTTGCAACAAACTAGGAAAAAATTCCTTCTTGACCCCAGAATGGCAGTCA